CGCACCTGCCCACTGTTTACTATGATGTTGATACGCCCCTCAATAGCATCAGCTACTCCAACAACCTTCAGTTCATGGGAAACAGATGTTTCTCGAAAGTCCAAATTATGTGAAAGTCGATCTTTACTCAATGATGAAGGCAGCACATACCTACATAGGCATTGTTTCCCGGACTGCAATTATACAACATAGTTAATTATGCACCAGTAGCAAAATAATGTAGACACCAAAGGGTAATCATGCGTGCTAGTATTGCAAATAATACAAATATATGATGTGTTTAAGTCTCCATTCCCTGCTCATGATTCAAGAAACAAACACTGAGAACAGCATGAGTTGAGAACCCTATTTCTCTTTTATTTTCCAAAGAACTTCTCAAATAGCTTTCAGAATCATATTAAAGGATGCACCTTTAATAACTTATGAACCTTCTAGGTTTTTCTGCATTTGATTTTGAATTTTTGGTGACAGACCCCAAATTATGATTACCTAGAACGAATAATTATTTCAAGCAATTATTGCTTGCTAAAAGCATGATTCAACACAAACACAATATATCCTTGTGAAAAGACTAAGCCATTGCTTAGGCAGGTTTTCGTTAGGAGGGGCAGGAGGGAATAAAGAGGTGTGGGCATGTATTAGTTGTTGTTAGCAGTTAAGATTGTTAGTCTATTAGCAGTTAGAAAATAGAGAGTGTGAATAAGGGATGGGTCAGTGGAGGAGAGAGAATACATAGAAACAAGGAGTAAGTGTTAAGGGCAAAAAAGAACTGGAGTCTTGTTGAGGAAGTCTTGGCTTTGGCTAAGCAAGGGAGGTTCGCAGTACCTCGAAGGACTGCTCTGTAATTCATTTTGGTGATTCAATAAAGATCATTCTTTCATTCTTCTTGATTCATTTATGTTGTAGAAATTACTCTGTTTCTATCATTTTGGTATCAGAGCAATAATTCTGGGCAATAATGGCACGTAGGAAAACAGAAGAACGGTTTGAATCTGTAGAGAAGGAGATTAAGGAAGTTAGGGTTTCGATGGAAAAAGGAATCGGTGAGATGGAGAAAGGGATCGGGGAGGTTAGGGCGGAAATAACTCATAATAGGGCGGAATTAACTCATAATCTTATGGAGCTCCGTCGACTAATGGAAGAGCATATGAAGTTGTTTGCGGCGCCGTCGAAAGCGCCCGAGAAGACAAGGGCTTCGACGTCCGTGGTGGAGGAAGATCACGAGGTATTTCCGACCGGGATCGCGGGGTCGCGTATGGCGGAAGTCGCTGGGTTGCACGCGCGGAACGAAGAACAAGTGACGGACCCTAGGGTTTTACAGAATGTGTTGTTACCGGCAGGAACTTCTGGGTTGCGTGCGCGGGGAGGGGATTGACCGGCGGACCCCAGGGTTTCGCGAAATTTTTGTCACGAAGGGAGGGACGAAGAGCGCGACACCCGAAGGGAGGTTCCGATGGGTGGCCAAGGGGAAAACGTGACTGGACGTCGTGGAGAGGGGTGTGGCGTTTTCGTGGAGTCTAATAATCATGGATTCCGCAATCGGCGTTGTGGTCTGGCTGTGGATGGATATCGAGGAGTATGGTTCAAGGAGGGGTGGGATGGTAGAGGCGTACTTGAGGAGTTGCCGAAAAATGAGGAGTGGGCTTCCTACGGCTGGTGGCAGGTGGAGTGTCCAACTTTTAGCGGTGATGATCCCGATGGCTGGGTGTTTCAAATGGAGCAGTTCTTTTCCATCAACCGCTGCTCAGAAAGGGAGAAACTGATCAGTGCCAGCATTGCTTTTAGAGGGAGACGCCTTATCTTGGTTCCAGTGGCAGAATGGTCGTCGACCTTTTCACGGCTGGATAGACTTCAAGTTGTCACTATTACAGTGTTTCCGTTCTTCGCAGGCAGGAAATCTTTGTGAGAAGTTTTTGGCAATCCGACGAGAAGGAATAGTGGCGGAATATCGAAGGCAGTTTGAGGTTTCTGCAGCTCCGCTTCAAGATGTTCCGGAAGAAATTTTGGAAGGAATTTTCGTAAATGGTTTAAAGGCGGAGGTTCGGGCTGAATTGAGGCTCTTGAAACTGGTTGGTTTAGGCAAAATTATGGAGATTGCTCAAAGGATCGAAGAGAAGAATGAGTTGCTTCATTGAGAGGTCTCGAGAACAAGAATGTCAAGACCACAATTTTCTAGTGGTTCAAGGGCTGAATTCACTACATTTTCCACTAGGACATTGTCGGGAGTCGAGCGTCCACCGCGAGCTCCAGCCCCTTTGGATAAAACAGTAAATCAAAAGCAAGACTTTCCTTTTCGCAAGTTGTCGGACTCCGAGTTACAAGAGAAAAAGGACAAAGGGTTGTGTTTTAGGTGCGATGAGAAGTTCACCTTGGGGCATCGTTGTAAAAGGAAGGAGCTCCGAATCATGTTGGTTAGCGATGATATGATGTAACTGAGTGTGAAGAGGAAGATTCTGACTTGTCTAAGGACCATTTGGGAGGAGGGGCAGCCCGAGCTTATTGAGTTGTCCTTGAATTCCGTGGTTGGGCTTTCGACACCAAAGACTATGAAGCTCCATGGCATGATTGCTCAAAATGAGGTAATTGTTCTAATCGATTCCGGAGCAACTCACAACTTCATTTCTTTAAGTCTTGTTGAGAGATTGTCTATACCACTTTTTCCCACTGCCAGGTTTGGAGTACAAGTGGGCACAGGAGAATCGGTTAAGGGATGGGCCTTTGTCGTGAGGTGGCATTGAGCTTACCTCAGTTAACAATTGTGGAAAACTTCTTGCCATTGGAGTTGGGAAGAGTGGATGTGATTCTAGGCATGCAATGGTTGGAAACTTTTGAGGGAATGCATGTGAATTGGAAGTCCCAATTGATGAAGTTCAAGATTCGGGGGGTAGCAGTTACGTTGCGTGGCGATATGAGTCTCTCTACCACTATGGTTTCTCTTAAAGCAATGTTCCGGACTATAAAGCATGAGACAAGGAATTTACTTGGAATTACGAGCCTTGGACGTGAACAAGGAACCGGACCAGCCACTTCCTGCCCAGATCAGTGTCTTATTGCAGCATCATCCAAGGGTTTTGAATATGCTGGATGGACTACCCCCTCAACGTTTGCGTGATCATCGCATTATTCTTCAACCAGGCACCGCTCCTATTAGTGTTAGGCCCTACAAGTATCCTCAGTTTCAAAAAAATGAGATTGAAAAGTTGGTGCGTGAGATGCTAGCAGCTGGGATCATTCAACCAAGCAACAGCCCGTTCTCTAGCCCTGTGCTTTTAGTTAAGAAAAAAGATGGCAGTTGGCGCTTTTACGTTGATTATCGCGCTCTCAACAAGGCTACAGTCCCGGATAAGTTTCCCATACCAGTTATTGGATGAATTGTTTGGGGCTGCTATTTTTACCAAATTGGATTTGAAATTGGGTTATCACCAAATCCGGATGTGCGCGGAGGATATTCCAAAGACCGCTTTTCGCACTCATGAGGGCCATTACGAATTTTTGATTATGCCTTTCGGGCTAACTAATGCTCCAGCCACATTCCAATCTCTGATGAATGAGGTATTAAAACCTTTTTTGCGGAAATTTGTGCTAGTTTTTTTGTATGACATCCTGATATGCAGTAAATCCTTAGAAGAACATGTGGGCCACTTGGATTTGGTTTTGACCGCTTTGGAAGACAACCAATTATATGTTAATCAAAAACAGTGCACTTTCACTAAGAGTCAGTTGGAGTATTTGGGTCACATTGTTTCTCAGGATGGGGTTTCGACAGACTCTAACAAGATTCAAGCAATGTTGGATTGGCCTACTCCACATTCTATTAAGGAGTTACGCGGATTCCTGGGTTTGACCGGGTATTACCGGCGTTTTGTCCCGGGGTATAGTCATCTTACGTGGCCATTGACATAACAATTAAAGAAAGACAGTTTTAATTGCACAAATGAGGCTGAATCTGCTTTTCGGAGGTTGAAATAGGCCATGACTACAGTTCCTGCACTCGCATTGCCGGATTTTTCTCAACCATTTGTTGTTGAATCCGATGCTTCTGGATTTGGTATTGGCGATGTTTTGATGCAACAACAGTGGCCTAAAGCTTATTTTAGCCAGGTGTTATCTCCTCAGGCTAGGGCTAAGTTAGTTGATGAGCGCGAGTTGATGGCCGTGGTCCTTGCTATTCAGAAATGGCAGCATTATCTCCTTGGGCGGCATTTCATTGTCCGCACTGATCAGAAGAGTCTTAAGTTTTTGTTAGAATAATGGTTGGTTAGTGAGGAGCACCAAAAATGGTTGTACAAACTGTTGGGTTATGATTTTGAAATTCAATACAAGCCTGGTTCAGAGAATCGCGTGGCTGATGCTTTATCACGGCGGTCTGCTAGTTTGGAGTTGATGCATATGTCAACTTCAGCAATTTACGATGGGGCTGAAATTCGCCAACAAATTCTCGGTGACCCGAAGTTAGCTGGGATTCGGACTGCTTTGTTGAACAATCCGACAGCGGTGAAGAGGTTTTCGTTGTGCAATGACATGTTACTTTACAGGAATCGTTTGGTCATTTCCCGGCAATCACCTCTCATACCTCGATTGTTGGAGTTCCACGGCAACAAAGTTGGTGGTCATTCCGGAGTGCTGAAAACGTTTAAACAGTTGTTTTCCGAGTTCTTTTAGTATGGTATGAAACAGGATGTTGTTTCTTTTGCTGCAGCTTATCAGGTTTGCCAACAACACAAGTCTTCTACTTTGGCTCTGGGGGGGTTATTGCAGCCCTTGCCACTTCCACAACAACTGTGGGAAGATCTTTCTATGGACTTTGTGGAGGGTCTTCCTAAGTCGGCTGGACATGATTCTATCTTGGTGGTCGTAGAACAATTGAGTAAGTATACTCATTAAAGAGGAGGTTCGGCTTCATCGTTTTCCGACCACTATTGTATCCGATCGTGATAAAGTCTTTCTCAGCCATTTTTGGAAAGAACTCTTTAGGTTGCAAGGTACTTCCTTACATCACAGCACGGCCTACCATCTCAGTCTGATGGTCAAACGGAGGTGGTCAATCGCTGCCTAGAAGCTTATTTATGATGTTTTGTCTGCGACAAACCTAACCAATGGTGGTCTCATCTTGCTTGGGCTAAATATTGGTATAACACCAGCTTCCATGTCTCTGCCGGCATGACACCTTTTAAGGCTTTATATGGTCGAGATCCTCCCAAGCTACTCCGTTTTGAATTGGGGTCTACAACTAATTCTTTGCTGGAACAGCAACTGCAGTCGTGCGACGCAATTCTGGATGAGTTACACGTACATTTGCTTAAGGCCCAACAATCCATGAAAATGCAAGCTGATCTCAAGCGTCAGGATGTGTCTTTTGAGGTGGGGGATTTAGTGTTCTTGAAACTTCGGCCGTATCGCCATCGTTCTTTGGCAAAGTTTGTCAACGAAAAGTTATCTCCCCGGTTTTATGGCCCTTATCAGGTTCTCGCGCGTGTTGGGTTAGTGGCATATCGTTTACATCTTCCTGCATCCGTGAAGATCCATCCGGTTTTTCATGTCTCACAACTCAAGAAAGCTATTGGCCTCTCGGTCCCTACACAAGATGTTCCTCCCATCCTAACTGTTGATATGGAATTACAAGTGGAACCGGAACGCTTGTTGGCTACTCATTTTTCTCCTGTGACTGGCCAATTGGAAGTCTTTTTGCAGTGGCATCATTTACCTGATTATGAAGCTTCTTGGGAACTCTTTGATGTTATCCAGCAGCAATTTCCCGATTTTCACCTTGAGGACAAGGTGACACTTTTGGGGGGCGGAGTAGTTGATAAGACTAAGCCATTGCTTAGGCAAGTTTTCATTAGGAGGGGCAGGAGGGAATAAAGAGGTGTGGGCATGTATTAGTTGTTGTTAGCAGTTAAGATTGTTAGTTTGTTAGCAGTTAGAAAATATAGTGTGAATAAGGGATGGGTCGGTTGAGGAGAGGGAATAAATAGAAACAGGGAGTAAGTGTTAGGGGCAGAAAAGAACTGGAGTCTTGTTGAGGAAGTCTTGGTTTTGGCTAAGCAGGGGAGGTTCACAATACCTCGAAGGACTGCTCTGTAATTCATTTTGGTGATTCAATAAAGATCATTCTTTCATTCTTCCTGATTCATTTCTGTTGTAGAAATTACTCTGTTTCTATCACCTTGTAGACAATCGTGGAAAGAATATTTATTTTATTGCCAAGGGAAAAAAATTCTAGAGTAATAATTGGTATAATACAGTGCAATCAAACAAAATAATTGATTAATTATAAGTTGTAACTCTCCCAACTTAATAACTTTTAAGTATTTGCATACTCAATATAAGCAAAATAAAATTGCCGTGATAGATTTGTAAATCCAAAGGGTTTTACTAAATGGACCACGTGAGAAAAGATCAAGCTCAAGTAATATCCATCATTAATAAATATGACTTACATAAAGAAGAAGGGCATTTTCTGGTGCCAAAACAATCATGTCTAAGTATGGCAGCAGCCCAACTTTCACTCTGAAAAGAGAATGGTAAACAGAGAGTCAAATCCCCGAGATTATAGGACAATCAGTAAGAATTAAAGACTGAAGAGTAAGACATGGCTTACCTAGGACGAGTGACAATCACAGGAGCAGCTGCAATTGCAGGTATACTCCAGCTCATGTCAGGTTTAATGTCAAAGAGGATTTCATTGTTTATTTCATCACTTTGAAGCCTTACAGACAATAATTTCCTTTGTTCTTGGTGAAGAAAGCAAATTATAGGAGCCGAATCATCATCAGTTGCAAGGAAAACCTAACAAGCATTTGAACAAAATTAGATAAAGGTCAAAGAACTACACAAATTTCTATAAATACCATGCACTGAAACAAAATACTAGTATGGGTATCCACTTGAAACAAAGTCTAGCGAATAAACCAATACCTTACAAGCAGCTGTTTGCACACCCTTCCCCTGCCATATTCTACGAAAGGAGAACCGTTTTGGTATTACTCCAGAAGGAATAAAATCCAATAAATTAGCATTTGCCACCTCAAGGTTGGAATTAATGACTTCTACAACCCACACTGAGTGTTGCATCTTTCCTGCAAACAACACAACAATGAAAAAATGATAAATCCTTGGACAATAACAAAAGAGAAAAGAACTTGAGATTAAGACACCTTTGTTATATGACGCCATAAGAGGTATTTGGTCACTCGTCCAGATTGTTGTCTCATCAAATTCCTTCATTATGTTATACTTTCCTCTTTCTTCAATATGAGTCAACTGAAAATTTTAAGGACAAAATCTCTTTATTACAATAGATTAAAAAAAGAAGCCAAGTTTACACATTAAACAAGATAAATGCAAGCGTGGCAGAAAAAATAAACAGAGAAACAAGACTCTAGCAAAATACTTGCGGTTCTTCTAGTGGATCCTTCAGAAGCAGATGTGAGGATATTGAAGTCGTTTCTCCCTTTACAATATTATCAAATAAGCTCGGAAAAGTGTAATTATGCTGTGGACTGTTTCCAGTTTCTCTTCTTGCACGGGGCATTTCACGCACACCAAATAAAGGACTTGTAGATGAAATAGGAACATGACTTGTTGTACTTGTGTCAGCTTGTTGCTGGAACAGTAACCCAAAAGGAAGAGCCCATATTGATGTGATGGAACGAGACAAGGGGATGGATGTTACTTCACCTATAAAAATCAGGCTTCAACCTCAAGACATAGCAAGGAACGAGAAAGCTAAATGATGGCTTGCAAAATAAACATTACCAAATACATCAATAGACCAAGTAACAGACTTAAATAACTCTCTGGTAAATTTCAGACAACTTAGATCAAGACTCATAGATCAGGCTCGAAGCCTCCAACGCTATGCAGCATTTAAATCATCATCCCTGATAGTTCTAAATAATATACTTACTCTACAAGAAACCTTCACATATAAGTCCTATTTATCATGTCAATTTCAAGCTCTTTAAAAACATTATAAATTATTAATTATCCTAAAAAAAATTTGCGTTCATCAGTGCAACAACGCATTCCTATGGTTTCTTTCAATCTAGTGATTCGTAGGTGCATCTTTTCTTGGTTCTTATGTTGCTACTTTTTTCTTTTCTTTTCTTTTCTTTTTTTTTTTTTTGCAACATTAATACAACATGGGGAAGTGAGTGAGTCCTTTGATATAATTGTCCCAAGGTTACTACGTACGTGTTAAAAGTAAAAACTCACCTGATGTGTTGTATATTGTCAAAGAACCAACTTGCAAAACACATAGAAGAGCCTCAGCCGTATCACCCAGACGACACCATCGTGCCTTGAATTTGTGTAAGAAGTTTACCCAAAGAAAATTAAGAGCAAAAACACATGTCACATAAACTCATATGCAGATACAACAAGGCGAGTCAATAAAAACCCTGAATAACATTATAATGATTTTTTTTTTTTGGTAATTAAGCGAAAATCAATACTAAGATGCTTTGACCAAAAAAGAAATACCATATGAGTTCAAAACTGCTGTAAATTCTAGAAGGAAAAAAAAAAGATAATAATTACTACTTATGAATCTTAAACAATATAATGTTCAAATGAATTGGATAATTACTTTACAGATATTCTGCTGATGGTCACTCCGAATCAAGAAATCTTACCATAATGACTGGGGAGGATAACGTGAACCTCTTAAACACTCGTGCACCTGATGTCCAAATTATCCTGTCACGATAGAAAACTCGCATTAGGCGGAAAATGAGAAGAACCATCAAATTCTCTTCTCAAGAGCAGCAATTCAACCAATTAGTAAGCTTAAGAATTAATTAAGGTGCGGTACTAAATCCAACAAAATTCTGCAGACTGGCGAACATTAAATCTTCATAGCAGAACGCATTCAAAACGAAAAATGAGAACAGTCGAATTCTCTTCTTGACAAAATGAAACTAACCGTCTTAAGAACTAATTAATGTCTGATATTGAGTCTGACAAAATTTCACAGTACATCCAACTTAAAGTCTCCATCTTAGAACGCATTAAGAACCAAAAATCAGAAGAAGAATCGAATTCTCTTCTTGACAACAATTGAACAAATTGTCAAGCTTAAAAAATTAAGGTGTCATACTAAATCCAATAAAATTTCACATTTCGTCGACAGAAAATCTCCATCGCAGAACACATTCTGAACGAAAAATGAGAAAGAACACCCGAATTCTCTTCTTGGAAACAATTGAACAAATTACAAGCTTAAGAATTAAGGTGAAGTACTTAATAAAAAAAATGAGGGAAAAAATAAAAATAAAAAAAGAAACTCGCATTTCGTCGAACATAAAATCTCCATCACTGAATGTAAAAAAATAATAATAAAAATAAGAGAGAGAGAGAGAGAGAGAAGAATCAAATTCTCTTCTTGACAACAATTGAACAAATTGTCAATCTTAAAATTAAGGTGTGCTACTAAATCCAACAAACTTTCGTATTTCATCGAACATAAAACCTCCATAGCTGAAAGCATTCAGAACTCAAAATGAGAGAACGAATCGGATTCTCTTCTTGATAACAATTGAACACATTGACAAGCTTAACAATTAAGATGCAATACTTAATCCAAACGCATTTCTGAGTCCTCCATCGCGAAACTCATTCACAAATTTCTTTTTTTTTTCTTTTTCCCCTTCCCCCATTTTACATTTCTAACCAACCAAACGGAAAATTCCACTAGGGATTACCGATTTCCTCTGACGAAGAGCTCGTGATCAGAGCGATCGCTGAGAGCGGCGCCGGACGCGTCGAAATCGTCGGCTTCGTCTCGCTGTCGAACGACTTCGGGGTCGAAGAGGAAGTAATCGCACTTCTCGGTGAAGTCGTCGGCGGGTTTGCCGTCGAGAGCTTCGGCGATCAAGCCGTAGGGCTTGAACTCGCCGAGCACCGTGAGGCGACGAACGCCGATCGACATTTTCCGGCGAGAGGAGCAACACGACTATACGAGGAGTTTGGGTAGGCGGATTGGGAGACCGGCTGTGCGGGAGAGACTCCCGCTCTTTTTCTTAGTTTGTTTTTTGGTTTTTTCTCCTTTTTTTTTCCTGCTTTCAAAAAGGCTGAGACGTTAGCGCCATTTGAAACCCTAGAGCTTAGGGATAGTTCTGTTCGGCCATGTGGACCAAGGTTTAGGAAATTGCAGAAAATAGGTATACATTTTAATTTATGTTAGTAAATAACTAATTTATTAATGTATAAAAATTAACAAGTTTTTTATATTTTAAATTTTTTATTTTTTTTATTTTTTTAATTTTACTCTTTTTTTATTTTTTCTCTTTTTGCACTCTCTTTCTAGATCTCTCTCTTCTCTCTATTTGTCATTTCTGGGTATGCTTTTCTCTCTCTTATCGTCAACCATGAATTTAAAATTTACGGTATAAAATCAAAATTTATCAACAGAACATACATTGTGTTTCTTCTTATTAAATCATGAATTTATAGTGTAAATCGAGAGTTTACTATCGTAACACAAATTTATGTTCTTTTGTAATCCTAGATTTATATAGTAAATTCAGAATTTTACTAATATAAAATAAACATTTTTTGTTCTGCTCGTAAATTCAGAATTTACCATGCAGTAAATCCATAATTTACCATCAGAATACAAATTGTGCTATGCATAAATCTTAGATTTATAATATAAGTCTAAAATTTACCATCATAATAAAATTTTTGTTTCTTTGTAAATCCTAAATTTACTATTAAAACACGTGTTGTGTTTGTAAATCCAGAATTTACTGTTACTAGCTATATTAACTTTATTAATATAAGATAAACATACTTTAGTTCTACTCATGAATCTAATATTTATTAGTATATAAATTTGATTTATACCATCAGAGCACATATTATTATTCTTAAATTTTGGATTTACAATGTAAATCTAGAATTTATTATCACAACATAATTTTTATTCCTTCGTAAATATTTACCATCAGAACACTAAATTAAGTAAATAATAAATTTTAAAACTATTTAAAATAAATAACAATTTACGTGATAAATAATTCATTTACGACTAGTAAAAAATAACTTACGTAGTATAAAAATCTTTATGTATATGGAAAACATCTTTTTACCAGTCATAAAAAGAAAATTTACGTGGAAAAAAAATATTTTTACTAATCATAAATGAACTATTTACATAATAAATTATTCATTTACTACGTAAATTGTCATTTACTTTAAATAATTTTAAAATTTATTATTTACTTAATTTATTTTTATAAATTTACTATTTACTACGTTTTCCTTTTTCTGGTAATGTTTTCACCCATGCGAGGCCTAAATTATAGTTTTTAATTTGAGGACCACATATATATAAAAAACAAACCTTATTTATTTGAAATTAAATATTACTTTTAAAATTATACTTTTATTTATAGGCAAATATACTTATATTTTGCTATTTCTCTCGGTAGGCTCATGGAATCCCACTTGAGTCCTTGACTACAACTTAGCTTTATCAGCAAACAATTGTCAATGTTTGATTTGATAATTGACAACTATATTTTTTTCACAACGTCAAAAAAGTTAATTTTTTAAATAAATAAAAAAAACCTATGATTTAAGTTTGAAATCCCTTGGCTTTTGAATAAAATTTTTGCATTACATAAAATACATCTAACAATGATCCTAAGCTCTAAAAAATTCCCTCTCACAAAATCCATTATAGATCCTTTACATGTTTCGTTTATATAAAAAGCAATATCGGTTTAAAAAAAAAAAAAAAAGCAATACCAGATCTAAATAAAACATTACAACTTTAGCCAAAAATAATAATACATAATCTCAACCGCCAATATTGATCATCGGACAGTGCGTAAATTTAAGGCCCTGTTTATATTCTTCTTAATAGCCGGCTGTCCTCTTGGTTCGTTGTATGGTTTTCAATCTGATACTTGTGCATGTTATTTCATCGTTTTGTAATTTGATAATAACATCATTCTTGTTGTGTGAAAAAATGTGTGTTGACACGTCGGACAATGATCATGCTCCACGTGGCCCAAAACCTGACAACTCAGGTACCCGTCGACGCTTAAAGCTCATCTCTCCCTCCGCCATTTGGTGAAGAGGCCACCCGTATGGGCCGTTTCGCGCAAACCGTCGACCTTGTATGCAGTCAAGGCCCGTGTAATCTGTTGGCCACAAACGGTCCATCATGGGGTCGGCCTCAGGCAGAAGTCACGATTAGTCAGGTGTAGCATAGGCACAGGGGGTAGAACACAAGAATATGGGTCTACGTCCTGAGAAAGGTCTCTGAGGTGACAAGCTTGAGATCCCGAGGTTGCGTCTGGGTTTGGAGAAAATCAGTAGCGCAGTAAATGATTACAAGTCACTAAACCGCCTGGAACGGACCAATGGAAATTATAGAGGATCTGCAGAGCCGTAGTAGGGGACAAATTGGATGAGTGAACAATCCAAAAGGCGCTGACAAGCTACGGTATAGGCAAATGGGATAGTAGGTCACTTGAGAGGAACCGTCAAAAAGTCTCAAAAGCAGCCCGTCCAAAGGTGGTGTTCATACGTAATCTGTAAGCTATAAATGGAGCAAAGCCCCAGAAAGAAGGAGATATGGTTTTGATGTAACTCGAGAAGAACAAAAGAGAAATAGAATATGCAGTGGACGTAGCTTTTTCTTATGGAGTGAACTACTATAAATCTGTGAGCATCCTTCCCTTACGTTTTCAAGCGATACGTCTAACAACATACCTCAAACGCAAACACCATCACTAGAATATCCGATAAAATTACAAATTTTAACCGGTAACCCAACGGACCACCAAGGGATAATCCGGTAAAGTCTTGTTGACAAAAATCAACCGTCAACAATTCTTATATGTAAAAACAATCATATACAAAAATCGGAGATTTAAATAGCTTTTTTTTTCTTTTCTTTTGTCTAGTTGTCGTCCCTTCAAATTATTCTTCCTTGTTTTTTTTTTTTCTCTTTATATGATACTTAATAAATTTATAATTATTATGATGACGACGATGAAATTTCTAGGTGTAGCGAGATATGGCACCAGAATACATTGATCTCATGGTTCCCGATCCCTATTTACCCAATCAATTTCCTACAGAATATCGTGAGGATGATATTTGCTATAAATATGAAATCATTGAATCTGAGATGTGATTTCATTTTTTTAGTATTAGTCATGCGTCTATTTCATAAGTTCAAATTGTTAATCAAACTTTTTACTACAAAATTTTCTCTCATAAAATTTAAATTTCTATTCAAATGTTATTTTAAAATGGAATGTTGTTGCTTGCGCTTTTTACAAATAATAATATTGTTGTGAATTCTTTTAAGGTTTTGCTGTTGATCACTTTCCTCCTAGCCACCGAAGCGAGACACACTAGCAGCACACTACTACAATTTGGGCTATTTGTGACAACAATTGTCATCACAAATAAGTGAATGTTGATGGTGACATGTCGTCGCAAATATTTTCGTAAAACTGAAAAAATATTGTCGTCGCTAAAACCTCATTCATCGTCGCAAATATTTACTTGGCGCATGATCTTGTCTGGCGTAAACATTTAGCGCTAAAATAGCATTATTTACAACGACATGTCACCGTAAATAATTAACTATTTATGACGACACTTGTCGTCGCAAATAAAATTTAATTTATTTATTTTCTCTAGAGCAAAAAAGATTATTTTGGCGGGTGACAAAAGCTTTTTACGACAACATTAATATGTGTCATCTGAAAAAGTGATTTTGTATTCCCTCAATAAAATAAAAGGCGGGGGAATTGGGCGGGTCCCCAAAAATTATTTGCGACAACATTATAGGTGTCGACGTAAATAAGAATTCCAGAACCTTCCTTCCATAACATGTGTCATCGCAAATAATGTAACTATCATCGCAAATAAGTTTAAGTTATATTTGTGACGACTAGTCGTCGCAAATATTTTTTCTGTCATCGCAAAAAACTCTGTTATATGCCTACGAGCAGAGCCTCCACCTCCATTTCTTCAGGCTTCTCTCTCTCTCTCTTTCTCGGCCTCTCACTGGTTTCTCCGGTTTTCTAACTCCAAACTCTCACAATCTCCTTGTAGTCTCTTCAAAATCAACAATATTATAAGTTTTATTTGTTTTTCCATTCAAAAAATCCCAAAATCTCGCTGTCAACCGCCGCCGCCGAGGAAGTTCGCCTCTACCGCCGCCCTTTGCCCATGTTTATCTTTCCGTTTTCAACCCCCGTTTCAGTAGGTTTGAATTTTGTAAGTTTTTCTATAATTATTGTATTTTTTTAGTTTAAAATGTATGAGTTTTTTGTTATTTGAATTATGTATAATTATGGATTATAAATCTTGAAGTTTGATTTATAGATTTTAGCTTTAGTATATAATTTGGACTATATATTGAATTTTAGATTATGAATTTTGAGATTGTTAAAATTTGATATTGAGATTGTTGAAATTTTAAGATTATAATTTGATTTAGGTTGAAATTAAAAGTTTTGATAATTGTTCTGGGTGGCACATCTTACAGTTATGGTGTGTTGAAATCTTTTAAAAGCTGTTTTTTTACAGATTTGAATTTTTAGATAATAAGAAAAATGTGTCGTTATGATGCCGAAATTTTATTAAAACCTATTAATTTTAAGAATTTAATTAATAAGAATTAATTATATTAATAGAAAGAAAATTAAAAATTAATTATAAACTAATTAACTTGTTCATAAAATTTGATAAAGCTTATAAAATTGAAACATGAAATGTTAAACTTTCTTTATGAACGTGATTATATAGTCACAAGAAAACATGAAGTATGATTATATGTGTTATTATTTTTATAGTCAAGATGCCAATTGACAAGAGTTGGATATATCTGAAAAATCAGTTGGATGATCTGTATTGGGAAAGGTTGTCTGCGTTTATCAATATTGCCAAAGGCTATGTTAATGAAAGTGGTTGTGCAAGTTGTTCGTGTTGGAGGTATTTAAACTATAAGTGTTTTCCAATAGAAACAGTTAGAGCACAGATACACCAATATGGTTTCAATACTTTATATACAACGTGGTATGACCATGGCAAAGACGATGTTGCGACCAATCCAATAAATGAATCAGTTGACAAGATGGTTACAGTTTTACATGA